CTCCTCCTCCTCCTCCTGTCTGGACCACTTCCCCAGTGCCAGTTTTGCACCCCGAGTCGTTTTCTGACGCTCCCGAGGCCCGGCGATGGCCCCCCGCAGCCGCGAACGGCCCAAAAGCCTGCCGTTCCCATTTTTGTCCGGAGCGTCGGATCTCGGGGTGTTCCCTCTGTCCTTGGCCCCGCTCCAGTGGCAGGCCCTGCGGGGGCCACAGGCGCAGCTGCTCTGGCAGTCCAGGCGGGGGCCAGGGATGCGCCCGCCTCCAAGGCACGCAGCTCCGCGGCCGAGGCTGGGTGGCCGTCTGGCCCCAGGGCGCTCTTTTGAGCAAGCTGGGGTACCGTGCGAGGGGGCGAGGACTTGGGTCTCGCCTGGTCTCTGCGTCCTTCGACCGAGGGGTCGCTGCTGGACTGCAGCTGCTCTTCGTGCCACGCACCGCTGCCCTCGTCACGGGAACCCGAGGCGACGGCGATATCCACATCTTGCGAGAATCCACTTCTGAAGCCAACATGAGTGAAAACTCTCATTGTCCGCGCGCGCGTTGCTGGAAGCCGGGGCTCGGTCGCAGCAGCGCCAGGGTGCTCGCAAGGCGCAGCGGTGCAGGGGTGCGCCGCCCCATCACTCGCCCTCGCCTTTCTCCTCCTCCTCGTGCTCCCCGTGTTTTTCGCCCTCCTTCTCGCTGCCCTCCCTCCTCCCCGCCCCTTTGACAGCTGGCGGCGAGGAGGGAGAGGTTCAGAGAAGGGCAAGGCCTTTAACGTCTCAGAACGCCTCATGGTGCTTTCCCGTGCCGTTGCCGCGGATGTGCATGGTGCTGTCGGTGGTGCTCAGTGCTGGCGGTGCTGCTGCTGCTGCTGCTGCTGCTGCTGCTGCTGCTTGTCCTCGTGCTCCTCGTGTTTTTTTGTTTGTTTGTTTGTTTGTTTGTTTGGTTTTCCCCCCCCCAAGAGTTGGCGATTCGAAACGTCGCGCCGCAAGTCTAGAATAATCTCCGTGTCGGGAACCAGATTCTGGGCTTTGGGCTGTCAAAGAACGGCCCGAAGTGACGAATCGGCCAGGAAGAAGCGGTCGATACGTTCAGATGGTGTTGTCTTGAAGAGACGGAGTCGTCGGAAGCCTGGGTCCTCGTCCTCCTCTTGCCCTGGCCCCTTCCCGCTCTCAGAACCCCTTCTCCTGCTGCTCAGCGCCGATGCCGGTGTCCTGCTCGTTGTCTTTCTCACCTTTGTCCTCTTCCTGCTGCTCGTCTTCGTCCTTCTCACCCTCGTCCTTCTCCTCGTCCTCTTCACCCTCGTCCTCATCCTTTTCACCCTCGTTATTCTCACCCTGGTCCTCGTCCACGCTGCTGTTGCTGCTTCTCCTCGTCCTTCTCACCCTCCGCCCCGTGTGGCTCTTCGGGAAGGGGAAGGTCTGTGCCATCCCAAGTCTGGGGGTCCACCTTGGGTGATTCAGCGTGGGCCGGCCCTCGGGACCCATGTGTGAATTCTTGGTGGCGCGCGCGCCATCCACAGCCCGTGTCTTAGACTTTTTTCGTCGCGGTGCGGCAGAGGCAATTCGCTCGCGCGCTCCCGTAGCTGGGGCAGAGCGTACGAACTGCCCGGTTGCGAGGAAAGGGCAGGGCAGAGGGCGGCCACGGAACAACAGGGGGGGGGGGGCACTCACAACCCGACGTCGTGCATTTTGCAATACGTGGCCGCCAGGCCCCTCGACCCCATCCCATTCTTCGTCGTGGGGATTTTTTTAGGTTGCGGGCGGTTATATGCAGGCCAGGGCTGAAACACTTCATTATGACAAATCGTCACGTCGGGGATTTGGGGTGGGGGTTCCGCGTGGGCGTGCTGGAAAACTTTGGTTCCACGAGAGCCTTGCTCGCCCCCTCAGTCCCTCAAGCTTGGTTGGTCAGTACACGTGGTCGCAGCCCGCGGGCGCTGAGTTCCGAACCGCCGCGCGGCGGGTGGGGGGCCCAGCGGCTCGCTCGGGGACGGGGGCGGCAGCAGTGCCGTCCTGGTCTTCTCTCTCCCTGGCCCCGCGCCCGTGGCAGCCAGGGCGGAGGCGCTGCGGGCGGCCGCGACCTGCATGGTCGCGGTACCTTTCGCAGTGGCCATTTGTTCGTGCCTGCGCGTGCTGCCGGAGCCTGGCGTGAGGCCGCAGTGGCGCAGCGCCGCCCGGGCGCAGTCGTGCAGGGGTGCTCTGGTTCATCGCCCGTGTGCTTCGCTCCCCTGTTCCCCTTTGCCCCCGTCCCCTTCCCTCTTCCTCCGGCACTCGCACGACCCCCGCGCTGGGTTGCGCACCCCCCGAATTGCTGTTGTGCCATCGGTTACGTGGGGACGGCCAACGCCCCGACCGCGGAGCTGCCACGGCGCCTGTGCCAACGAACCGTGAGAACGGATCCAGCAGTCGACCGACGAGGATCAGCTGGGGTGTTCCTTGCGCCCACCCCCGAAACCCTTTTCCTGACAGCCAGCGTCCCCAGAAAGGCGCCCACCCTGCCCTTCCTCCAAGACTCCCAGGAACAGGGAATCCACATCCTTCCCAAAGCAAGCATCCTCCCTGCCCCTTCGTCCCTCCTGTGTACTTTTTCTTCTCCCAAGACTCTCTTCCCCCTTGCCCATTCGCCCCCCCTGATTTTAGCATTGGTCCGTCTTTGGGGCAGGTGGCCGCCAGAACCAGGGTTGTCGGCCGAACGTCTTGGCCGCGCAATGACGGGTGCGTGCCCCTCTGGGGGAATTTCCCGGGGCCCAATTCACATTGGAACGGTACTGCGAAGAATCGCACGGCCTATGCGCAAGTGACGCGCACACAGAGTCTAGAAGTGTATGCAACTTCAGCTCCCCTCGGGCAACTGCTTGCCTTTTTTCCGTTCTTCTTCCAGTCTTTTCTGCGTTCCTTCCTTGGCCCTTCCTTTTCCCCCCTAGCCTGGGCGCCGCACTTTCCAGCCAACGCGCAGCGGAGGTGGGTCCCACGCGAAACACCTCGGGACCTCGCCGCCCCTGGGGGGCTTGCGATTTTCGCAACTGTTGCCGTTTTCGTGGGCTCCTGGGAGGCCCAGCGGAGGTGGGTCCCACGCGGATCACCTCGGGACCTCGCCGCCCCCTGGGGGCCTTGCGATCTGTGCAACTGTCGCCACTTTCGTGGGTTCCTGGGAGGCCCAGCGGAGGTACGTCCCACGTAGATCATTCGGAGGTGAGTCATACGCGTTTCTTTCAACGCCCCTTTGTTTCCATTTTGTATAGTTGCCGTTCCTCTTCTTGCTGCGCTCTTCTGAAGTCACTGTTGGGTGCTCTTCTTGCGCACTGCGGGTCCTTCAGAATGCCAGTCAGCACTGAGTGGTCCTGAGTATAATCGCCACATGTATAGAAAGGGTTGGGTACGTCACATTTTTTTGTTGGGATATTTTTTATTTTGAATATTCTTATTTTTTCGTCAAAGTTCCTCCTTTAGGGGGACAGGCCCAACCTAAGAGCTGGCTGGGGCCAAGGCGGGTGGTGTGATTCGAGCCTTCGCCGGAAGGGCGAACCGACAGTGGCGATTTCCTCTCTATGGGGGGGGCGCCTCCCGCAGGGAAGAGAACTGCTGCACGGAAGGACTAATGGGACTTCGGACGGCATGGCGTGTCAGCCGAATCGTTTATATGAATTTGGGGGGCCACCTGCGAGTCCCACCCCCTGCCCCCCACGATCTCGGAGGGGGAGGGTGGGGTTCACTCCGCTCGGAAGCTCCCGAGCGAAGTGGACCCCACCCTCCCCCTCAGAAGTGAAGCTCCCCCTATGCACCTTGAGTTTCTTCAGGGCCCAATCTTCTGATCAGATCGGCGGCGAGCCTGGGGGGGCAGTGAGAAGGGGCGGGCCTTCTCGGAAGGCTTGGGGAAGGCCAGTGGAACTTCTCGGAGGGCCGGAGAGCCTCTGGGACGCCCCGCCGCCTTCCGAGAGGGCCTTCTCCTTCTCGTATTGCCCCTCGCTCGCCGCCGAGAGTTTTCTCAGGTCCGAATCTTCTTCAGAATTCGGGTTGACCCAAAAGGGAGTCCAGCGACGAGGGGGTGGTGCAATAGATTTGGTACAATAGATCTGTAGGGTTGCAATAGACTTGCGGGGTGCAATACATTCCGGTGCGCAAATGTACTGCTGGGCTTCCGCCTGCAGCACATTCGCTGCAATGCAGTGCAATACAATTCTCCAGGGCAGTGTACGTTTGCAGCACAGTTGCCCCATATCTGTTGCACCACCCCCTTTCAGTGGGACCCTCTTGTGGGTGGGTCGACCCAAAGAATCCGCCCCAGATCGGTCCCCGGACCCATCCCGGGGCCCATGTTGGTCAGTCGTCTCGCCCTGGACCGTTCTGCGTGACGGCCCCAGGGTCCGAGGCATGCCTCCAGAGGCCGATGGCGCGACAGATCTCCTCGGGCCTCTCCGAGCCTTCTCGAACCTCGTGTGTTGGACAGTTGAGCCTGCTTCCCCAAAAACCTGCGCCCCAAGAAACCTGCTTCCCCAAAAACCTGCTTCCAACAACAAAAACGCGTGTATTGGGAAGTCGAACCTGCTTCCCCCAACAAAAAACAGGCGTATTCGGAAGTCGAACCTGCTTCCAAAAAACACAGGCTTTTTTTGAGGGGAAGTAGGTTCCACTTCCCAATACACATGGAAGCAGGTTCGATCTCCTTCAGGACGATCGTGACAGAAGGTTAGAAAGTCCAGGGTTCGCTAGGGACTGGTTCCCTCCAAATTGATTGAAAAACCCTTGTGGAACCCTGCCAGAGCCATTCGAAAAGCC